CTTCAGCCAAATTAGGCAAACAGGTGAAGGTGATGGACTCTCGCATACCGGTCTTGAAGACCAGGGTAAATATTCCCTGCGTGGACAGATTGCCCATGTCGCCGCAGCCCTACAGTGAAACTGTGAAAAGTCAACTAAGCGGAGGTGGCTCCATCCCTTTTAACACGACTGGGTTAATAGAGCCGAGTGGTAAATCTGCACAAAGTGAGAATAGTATAACACCCATATCCACAGTAGGCCTTGAAACAAACAGGAAGACCAATAAGAAACGTTCACGACGTCGCAAGACGAGGAAAACGTTCCCCAAAAAGGTAGACGATTGCAAGGTCTGCAATTCTGTTGTCGAACAAGTAGACTCTGCTTTCGAATGCAACTTTTGCAAGCAATGGGTACATTGTAGATGTGACACCGGGGTACCCAAGGTATATTGCGATTTTATGCGTAAGAACCCATGCCCATGGTTCTGGTACATATGCCCAAGTTGCCGTCCTAATGCAACCTCGTCCAGTTCCTCGAAAGCTAAAGATTGCATAGAGGTATCAGGAAAAAAACGTGAAACGTTTTACCTCCACCAACTCAGAAAACAGCACAATTGCATGTAAATCGGGGATACCAAAATCCACACCGGTTATACTTGCAATTCCTGCCATAACTGCCCCAGACACAGAGGTTGAAGCACCAAGGGTATCTGTCGCTGGAGAAAGACCCTTACCGTCCACCAGTAAAAGTGGCCACAGCACTGCGACACACAATAATACCCAGTTGCACCAGACGAAACAAAACGGTCTTAAGGGGGATGACAAATGTGCGAGGACCGAACCTAAATCCACGGTTAGTAGATCAAACTGCGCTATCCTCTTTAATGTACCAGACTGTAGCAGTAGTCTGCTGGAAAACAGGGCCGTGTTTGATCAGGAACAGTGGTCCAACTTGTGTAGCACACTGGGTCTGGACATCCAACCAGTAAAACTATGCAGATTGTATAGGGGCACTACTGCTCCTCAAGGCAAACCATCCCCACTGAGGGTAACACTAGGCTCTACAGAGGATGCCGAAAAAGTTTTATTGACTTCCCAAGTCCTTTCTATAGGGAGGACCTGCAATATACGTGTTAGGCTAGATAGGCCATGGAAGGAAAGACAGATGGCGAGGGAGTCGCCACAGCTTATTCCTTCTGGCTCCATGGTTGTTCACGGCATTCCCGAACTGGTAACTGGGAACGCTTGTGAGAAGCACTGTCACGATGTACAGCAATGGAGATGGTTGGCATCCCAGATGGGTCTGGGAAGTTCAGGGGCTGTCTCTATTTTTAGACTGCCTCGACCCACTCACCTAATGTCAATTAACACTCCACGTCTGTTAGCTGTTAAGTTCAGCTCCCGAGATCACTTGACTACTGCTCTCCAGAGATGGTACGAGACCAAGGACAAGGTTAGCAGACACATTCGCTGCTGCGAGAGCCGGCCTCGTATCCAAAGGAGAGAACAAAACGTTGTCATAGAACATCCCCAACCCCTAGTCACAATACAGCGGTGCAGCACGGACGATGATAGCCAGTGTCATCCGAGTGCTCCGATTGAATCAGAAGAAAAAACGCCAACAGGCCGGTTCCCGTAGGATAACTCCTCAACCGACAGCCCACATCACGTCAACCACCCCCAATACGGGGACGTGGTGAGACTGACTATCAGTTGCCTGTACAGTAATGTGAGAGGTCTAAGAGGCAAAATAGCTGAACTTAGATACCTACAATCACAGCTGAACTCCAAAATCATAATACTGACGGAAACCTGGCTAACCCCTACGGTGGCAGACAGCGAAGTCAGTATAAATGATGTGGTCCTAGTCAGGCGAGATAGGAATCTGAAAGAAGGAGGTGGAGTCGCCATATACGTCGACAAACAGCTCAGATGTGTCCATGCAATCGACCCTCCCCTCATTGAGCTCCCTGACTCCATATGGTGCCATTTCACCGTTGGGTACTGTAAGTATGTAGTGAGCAGCATTTACAGATCACCTTCATGTGGAGCAGACCACAACCAGGTACCGCTGAATGCAATTTCAGCGACACAAGGCATGGGTTATGATCAAATTGTCATAGCTGGAGACTTCAATGCTCCATCTCTTAACTTGATGACGGGATATGCCCAGGACAGATTTGATCGAAATCTGCTGCATACCATCAGGGGGGCCGGATTCACTGAAAATGTCAGAATGGATACTAGATGGGGCCCAGATGGGAAGTCTTCCAGACTGGATTATGTGCTCACTAGTGATCAGCTACTAGTGGAAAATGTTCAAATCACGACTCTCATAGGTAGTAGTGACCACGCGGTCATAACATTCGACATAGTCCTCCACGAGCGTTTACAGTGGGACAATACACTGCCCTATCTGTGTTATAACAAAGCCAATTACACCGAAATGCAAAGACTTTTGTCTGAAGCAAATTGGCCAAGAAATTGGACAGAGCTTACAGTAGAAGAACACTGGGGAGTGGTAAAGGAGATCATTCACCAGGCGGTCTCAGACACTGTTCCTTCAGTCACACCAAAAGCTAGGAAGCAACGTTCATGGCTAAAAAAGGGGACACAATGCCTTCTGCAGGCGAAGCGAAAAGCCTGGTTTGCGTGGCGAGTATCGAAGAGTCAACCCGAACATGAAGTGTACCTCGAACTCAGGAATCGATGTAACATACGAGTCCGGAGTGATAGAAGGAAATTTCAGAGAAACCTCACCAATAAGCTTCTCGTGAACCCCAAAAGCCTATACAGGTTTATGTCTGAAAGAAAACCGACCAACCAGGGAGCTTGTAATCTAGTGGGTTCTGATGGGAAATCTCTTACTAGTCTTGAAATGGCAGAGACATTCAGTCTAGCCTTTCACAGACAACTGAACAGTAATGAGGATTTTACCCCCACAAAACATCAAGATTACAATGCAAGACCAACGTGCGAAAACCTGCTGGGTACATTTCAAATTACCCCGGCTATGGTACTCGTAAAATTGGGTAGGTTGGCTTCGGGAAAGTCTGCAGGTTGCGATGACATAAGACCATCCGTCCTGAAGCAGTGTTCAGAAAGTCTCTGCCAACTCCTAAGTGATCTGTTTCAACACTCCATTGATGTAGGGAAACTTCCATGTGAATGGAAACGAGCCACCCTATCCCGTATCTTCAAGGGTGGTGACCGGCAGGACGCGACCAGTTACAGACCAGTTGCGCTACTCCCAGTGATATCGAAGATATTGGAAAGTCTCATTGACGACCACATGAGAAAATACTTCGACGGGACTAACCTACTCCATGAAGCACAGCACGGTTTCAGGAGGGGAAGATCCTGTGTGACGAATCTTCTACTAGCTTGGAACGATTGGACACTATCCTGGGACGTAAAGGTACCAGTCCATGTGATCTTTCTCGACTTTGCGAAAGCATTCGACACAGTTCACCATGGTCTGCTCCTTCACAAAATAAGCAAAGCGGGTGTTTCTGGAGCACTTCTCGCGTGGCTGGAAGATTATTTAGGCGAGAGAGAATTCTGCGCCAAAGTCAACCGCATCCGATCATCCTGGCACACCTCGGCATCAGGAGTTCCTCAGGGTTCTATCTTAGGGCCGTTGATGTTTTTGATTTTTATCAACGACCTGCCCTGTCAACTGAATTACTCTGCGCTTCTCTACGCTGACGACGTAAAGATTTGGAGAGCAATAAACTCATCGGAAGACTCCGACAGATTGCAGGCTGACCTGCAAACTCTGGGAGACTGGGCTCTGGCTAACGGAATGCCTTTCAACTTAAAGAAGTGCAAAGTAGTGCAACTTGATTCCGGCAGGTCACAGAGTGCAAATTAACCCTTGGTGGCCAGAACTTGAGTTGTGTGCCATCAGAACGCGACCTAGGCCTTATTTTAACAGAAAAGCTAGACACCAGTGTAAATTACACGAGGGACGTCTCCAAAGCTTACGCCACTTTACACTTTATGCATAGGCAGCTGGGAGCTCTTACTCCTGAACTATTCTTAACGTTGTATACGACATACGTGAGGCCACTCCTTGAGGTGCATAATATCATTGCTCCTCCGCTACTCAAAAGGGACGCTAAGATGCTAGAAAGTGTCCAGAGACGAGCGACAAAATGGGTGATCGGCCTCCGCAACAAATCATATGAGGAAAGACTGAAGAAATTGAGTCTTTTCACACTTAGTTACCGTAGTCACAGGGGAGACCTCCTCACCATCTATAAGATCTTAAATGACCAGGCCCACCCTAATAAGAGCATCCTGCCATTAAGTGATTATAGGCTTCCACGAGGTAACCCGCTAAGGATAGCACACCAGAGACGAAAGACTCGAGTGCGTTCACATTTCTTCTCGCTTCGAGTTTGCCGTCTCTGGAACGCTTTACCGGCGTCCGTAACTACAGCTCCATCTGTGGAGACTTTTAGGCGGAAGCTGGACAATCATGCAGAAATGCATGGTTTGTGTCTCAATGGCTTACCCTCTTAAAATTTGAAACCACATAGTCAATGGATAAGCATACAAGCTAAATCCCCACAACCCGTCCTGTCTTCTCCCACTGTACCGACTACTCTATCTTTTCTTTCTTTCTTTACTATTTCACCTTTATTATTTCACTTATCTCAACCTATATTATCTACACTACAACCTATTATTATTATTCTACTTTTATGACTATACCGAATGACCAACGGGTGTTAGGTCAAACTCCATTCACGGCAGCAGCTGAGTTCTAACATACTGCACACTACAAACCACAATCTTGACCAATCCTCGCACCACTCCTCTTGGAGTCTACCAGAGCTGAAGCAGTCGAGTGGCGGGATTTACTACGCATAAGTTCACCGAAGATCTGGAACCTCTACCTTACAATCAAGAAGCGAGCTCAAAGAAATCACTGGTTAATACTAGCTCGTAATGAGGATATTGGATATTGGAAGCATTTCGGCGGTGCTACTAATAGTGACGTTACAGTTGGTGGCTATGGCGGTTGTTGCGCATAAGGAGCTTTCGCCTACAAGGTTTATTGATGGGATAGGTAATATATTCCTATTAATTAATCAACGCAATAGATGTAAATAGTGAAGATTATATACGAGAATTATTAAGACCACCGGATATCAAGGAAGATGTTAAGTTAATGCAAGAGCGAAGTCGAGTTTCTCTTATATTGAGGTCCGCGTACTTCCGCAAAGAGTTGGAAAAAATTGTGGCGTCGTCTCTCAAATCTGGTTGCCTGAACGCCAACGTTATCGCACTCAAGCAAATCATCGACTACTTGACGCCACAAACACGTCTTGGATCTTCTGCCTTCACGAGGGGTATGTTTTAGGACTACACTTTTCAATGTAAAATGTTCGTTAAAATAAGTTTCAAAATGTGAGTCAGTCCCCACCATGAACAGAAGTGTGTTAACTGGTGGTTGATTAGTAAGTAATAGAAAATTAGCTGCTGCTTATAGGTCGGTCGTATACAGCTGGAGGTTTGATTGGCCTGAGTCAAACGACTGTATAGTTTTTGTAAATAACTTTTTTGTTGAAAGTTGATACTCTCTAGTTAAATGAGCAAGGGCGTTCCCGCTATAATTCGAAGTCTTGAAAATACTGCCTACTATCTTGTTATTGCTTGATTCTTAAGTCATTTAAGGTACACTTTGGGGTTTACTTTACCTAATACATCTTGAAGCACTGTCAAATTTTTTTTGCGAGTTAAAGTAGGTCCTGCATAGGTTCCTCATGTAAGTTTGAGGCATTGTAGCTCACATTTGCTTGTATCATTGTAATTATTTTCGAAAACTGCTGATATGAATGGCCTTTCTTAAGTACGATCCTGGCTAAAGTAATGCTAAGCTGACAAGGAGTTAGAAGGCCCCGGGACACAATATGGAACCAGACCTAGGTTTCTGAGCTGTTTAGGGATTCATAGATTATCAGTTGTCTGGGATTCTCTATAGCGTAGTTCAGAATCCTCTACTCCGTCATGTGTTTTACATTTCTCCTGAAGTTCTAAGTGCTACCACTTAATTATACAATTTCACATAACCATATCCCTCCAATATATTACAACTCATCTATTTGATGTACTGGTTCGAATTAAGACAAAGTTCGTACATTAGTTCACGAAGTGATGTCGAAATCAATATCGAAAACGAAGATATCTGTCATTATTGAAACTAATGTACGCATCTGTAATATACACTCAAAACACTGGTAAGCTTAATCATTTCTACGACATTCATTTTTCCTAATTTCGGAACTCCGTAATTTTCTGTTAGAACTACATATTTGGTATCAGGGCGATACCGTTTTGAATCCCATTGGTCAAGCAATCCAGAGGCAACGTCGCATTTGGTAATTTGTTTATAGTTGGTGAAGTGGCATACAAACTCTAAAAATTCAACACAGCTACATTATCAAAATATTACAAAAGAAAACATAACTGGTAATAATGCATTAGAAACTGACGTTTCGAAAACTAAACAGTTAGATTGTGTTTATAATTGTCTCTATCCTCATGCATTTAGTTTGTGGTAGTTTAGCAATAGGGAAAATCCTTTTTTCACGCAAAATCGTACTGGCTTCTTTGACCTTTTGAAATAATAGGCAGTTATCTAGGACTGCAATGCAACAGTTTGGTATTTGAGGTATCGCGTAAAACCTCATGCTTGGCCACATTTATATGCTCCACTGATTCTTTGCGCGTGACTGTCAGTGTCATGTGTGTAAGTTAGTTTCTGTTTCCTGTCGATTGCAGGTGCTACCGTTCCTGTGGTACCAATTAATGATTTACGCACTGTCCAACTGGGTAGCTACGTTAAAGGAGAGCGCCTCACACGATGCAAGTTAGCATCTGTTTATCGATTAGTTGATATTTTTGGATGGAATACAGGAATCAATAATCATATTACGGTTAGTTTTCCTGATTGCTGTTGATTTTGCAAATGCTGTGTATGAGACCTTATTGCACAAACACGTTTACATCATTTAAAGAAAAGTAGGACAATCTTCGATAACTACTGTTCTGCTAGCCAGTTAACTTTTAGTTATAGGAAGGATCAAACTAATAATTTCCGCCATTATAAATATGAAGTGGTAAAGTTAAATGCTTGTCGCTGAAGTGTACCACTATTTTTCTTGGAAATGAAGTCGTCATAACGTTTTCATGGTGTACAATAACAAAGTATAGATTTTTCCAAAAAACCTGAAAATTGTTTGCAAATCATCGTACAGATTGACATTTAAGATCCTGGCAAGGTATCCTGGAAAGTGAGATAGCCCAAGGATATTCAAGACCATTGCAAACAAAATTATCATTATCTGTAATGGTAGTTACTAGTGGTCACTCCTAATGTTCTCTGTTTGTGTTGTTGGCGCTGCTTATATGTGGTTGGTAAAAGTTCTTTTAATTCTAAGGCTGCATCAGCCCTAATAGACAGATTGCTGATTAGATCTCAGCACCGACAAAAAGTCTCTTGTAGCGTTCGCCAGCTTGTGTTGTCTTTGGCGTAAATGTGCTGTTTGGGTATCGATCAAATGAAATGTGTACTGCGCAGGGCTTTTGCTGTCTTTCTTTACGAGAGTAAGGTATGACTATTAGGGTGGGAAGATTTGAAGAGGCTAGCTGTTTTTAGCAATGGGTGTTAGGTGGAATAATATGGTGAGTAGTACTGGGGTTAGGTGTAGTGTCAGAAATGAAGGGAAAGTCAAGTGATGAGGTTGTTGAGCTGCATTGAGATGGCTAGGCAACGTGTTACGCACTCTGTGTCATCACTGTCGGGCAATGCTAGCCGACATAGGATTAGGTCGGGAAATAGTCTGAGGTGGTCAAATTCTTGAAGTGCTTGATCGTTGGTTTGAGTCACGTAGAGAACTGCACGCTGCGTTAAGAACAGATGGCTGTAGACTATCGGTGATGGCGTTCACTTCTTATGAACTCTAAGATCAAATTTACTCTTCATTATTCTTCATATAATTATTCTTTCTCCCGCGAATTTCCGTTTATTTTAGTTTCTTTGATTGTCCTTTTTATCTCTACTTTTTACTTGCGCTTTAGGACGTGTAGCAACTTAAATTGCTGCACTTCTGTGCAATCTGGTTTCCTATATTCCTCTCACTTCTGTTACATTTTCCTATTTTTCTGTTGCCGTTAGCAAAGAATATTACATACTAAGGTTTTCTTTTAGGGATGTCCAAACTATAACTAAAGTGATGAGGTGTACAGAAACTTAAAAGATTATTTATGTAAACTGATATATTTTGGCTTACTGTTTTAAAAGCCTCCAAGATCAGCTTATATGGAAGTGCTTATTAGGGTAGTATTCGTGATTTTTGTCTTATGGATTACAGGACACTTACTACGTAGTACCACTCCATAAGGCCATTTAGTGTTGGACTCATCAATGGTAATGTAAATCAACTGACTAGCCTTTCTACTTGTCTATCACAACTTGATGCAGTATCGATCACAGTGCTGCAGTTGTATTTATTCTCTGTATTCTAGTCGTTATGCATCACTTTTAATAGGCTTTCTTTTATCTTGTTTTGACTTATCCTATAATTCCCATAGTGTCTTTGTTTCATCATCTTCCTCCTTGCTTCTTCCCATTTTATGAGGTGTGAAATATAGCAACTTTTGCTGATAAGCAATAATACAAATTGCTAAGTTGAAAATAACTGTCTGACTAATCCTCTTTATTTTCGTGTATTAATTGTCTTAGGCCTGATTTCAGGGATAAATTATCGATTGTATTATTAGGTATGATATGCCTTTTGCGTTTAAGTGCAATGTATTTTTGCAAGATTGGCAAGAACCTGCACCCACCCCCTTACGTGAACCGTTTGGAGTTATCTATATGTTCATGTGTCTAGGTAGTTGTGGATGCTGGAGGAAGTGTGACGGATAAGATCTCTAACGGCGCAGTTATCGCCAGGGTGGCATATGCCAACTTAGGCCACCCTTAGCACTGTAGCGATGCCATCCTGGCTGTTACAGGTCGGGTTCAAAATGGTTCGTTACGTTCTGTATTGCTCTACGCCTTTCAAAACTAATCTCTCCGAGCTGAGGATTTGCGGTGGCTGCGTGTTTGATTCTCTTCGACTCATAAAATTGTTCCCATCCGGTGGCATCATCGTGTAAGTAATTCTGTGGTCCGGCAGCACGTGTTTGGACATGGGGGGAATCACCTTTCATTCTGTCTGTCTGTCTGTTTTCGACATAGAACTTTGCACATATGTGCGGCAGTTCAAGTCGCCACACTCCATGTAGCACTTGAACTGCCACACATCTTTCATTAAGTATTATTATCTTGGGACTCTGGTTTCGACGACTTGGGTTTGTGCCAAGAATATCATCGCAGCAGCTCCAATACCTCTCGCTGTTTGCTAGCTCTGGGACTAGATGGAAAAAGAGGAGGTGGTCAGTCTATGACGAAGTGCTCTGGTGTGAGGAATAGTTGTATTGGTGCTTCATGACATTCCCTGCGCGCGGTCCGACAGCCGATTCAAATCAGTGGCTTAAATGACGAACTTTCTACAGTTTCCTTTTTCACTTTCTTTTTGAAAGTAACATAAGGTTATGAACCATTCTTTGAATGTTCCTGATAGCTTTGGTTACTTCCCTCCCGGATATCATCCCTCATCCATTCTATCCGTATTTTCCTCATATTGTTGCTTTATTGTTGTGTATGGTGCATCTCTTGGTGTCCATATTGTATTTAGTTTGTGTTAATAATAATAATTCAATGCAGTATACATGATGTCCACTGTTATACTTCCTCTGGGATTTAAAAAGAATTATCTTTCAATTCTTTATTTGCTGTTTCTAATCAGTAGTTACCTAGTATGACGTTTTTTTATTGCAGGCTCGTATTGCCCGGGACACTGATGAATACCTTATAAATCCCATTGGTTTACTATACAATGAAGTCACTGCGTCTTCTCTTGTAAAAATCAACCTTGAAGGTAAATGCTTTTAGTTGAGCCTAAATGTCATTGCGATAATTATTTTGATTCTTGTAATACTTTCTCTCTTAATGTTACCTTGTGATGCTACACACTTTCTCGGACTGAATCAGGCAAAGCCAGGTTTGAAAATGGATCTTTTTCCTTGGACATCCTTCGCTTCAGTCAATGAACTAAATCTTTACTTAGGTAAAAAGATAGATGCAAGCTACTAATATGGATTTACTGAAGTGGTGATTTAGCGATGTATATTTGAAGTTAAACTGCATTACTTTCAGCTAGTTGATTTTACTATGTTAGTCTCAGATGTTAATGCAATTTATGACCGTTTGCATCCAAAGTAACTGGATTCTGCAAAAAGGATTGTTGAGTCCATTTCGATAACTAAATCATTGTAAATACGAATCGGCATTTTAATGTCTGCTTTTTTGTTGACTAGGTATATATATATATATATATATATATATATAACTTTGTACTTCTCTTTGTTAGTGGGGTGATTCTTGATAACTCACCTAAATTCATTGCGAAAATCAATTTTTTTTCAGGTAAGAGCGATACTTTAGAGGTTGTGGTAAAGAAATTTGAGAACACCTGTAGTGTATTCTTGTGAAGGCTGTTTTAAGCATCGTTGGTTAATGCTGCGGACAGTTGCTTACCAAAATCTTAGTTTCTACAAGCTGAAAAACCTGACCCACTCTACTGATTAGTACATTAAGGGTATAATTTGGTGGTAATTACTATGGTATATTTATTTATTTAGTTTAAGATTGTGTCTGTTTTACTGTCACTGTGAAAGAGTATGGTCCTTTAAAGATGTTCTCTTATTTAGATGTGTTTGTGGCTGAAATAAATGAACGGGTTGAGATAACAGCGAATTTTCATGATACACGTTTGTTTATGTATAATAGAATATTTAGTGTTAGCATGGCATACGTCGTTTGGCTATATTTTCTGTGACTTATCGTCTTAGGTAGTCGGCTCTTGACTGAGATTGAAATCCTCTCCATCTACTTCTGCATTAACAACCTTGTAGTTTCATAAAGTTTGGTTCATCACTTGGAAATTCATAAACTCATAATCAGCCCTCACTATAGATGTACCTGGTGTATAGAAAAAATATATTTTGCTTATCTGAGTTTCAAAATTGTGGTTGTTTGTGACATTTACTATCATGTTTATCGTGCCATGTACCTAATAAGTCAGATCATAATAATAAATAAAATCTGTAAGTCTATTTAGATCTTGTTAGAACTTGTTGATTCGTTGCTCAAGTAACCATGCCTACTTACATTTTCCTTATTTAAAACTCATCTTCTACTATGACATGTAGAAACTTAGCACAAAAAAAGTTTGAGAAGACAGCGATATGCCAAGTGCAATTAGACAGGAATAAAACACGCTTCGATAAATCTTGTAAAACTAATCTCTCATGTCTATTCAAACTATTCTGTGTATCAAAGATAGCTAATACCATCGTATATATATATGGGCTTTTGTTCAACTTAAATTATATTCACCTTTCAAGTTTAATAACAGTGTTTTGAACTTTTTAATCAATTTGGTATTTTCAAGACTAATGTAAATATGTGGAATTTGTGTACGACATGTGAAATGTTGTACATTGCATACAAATATTGATTTCAACGCATATGTATACATATATCATTTAACATTAACTTTATTTGTTTTCGTAATAATAATAATAATAATATTAATATTAATAATAATAGTTTACCAACAACTTGACCTGGTGCACTTATCCGCTAAGTTTTACATTGATTCGTCAGTCACTTAATAATTTACTAACAGAATTCGGTATAGTAAATTAACCGTTTTCCAAGTTGATGTGAGTATGACAAAGTGAAGTTTTGCAGTTTAAGCATTATGAGAGATTCACTAGTCATTTGAACTAATTAAATAGTTTCTTGTTGTTACTGTTTCATACTTCTTTTTTAACAACATCTTTTGTCTAACATTACAATGAAATTAGTCGGTGTGTAAGTTTTGAACTGGACTTGTCAGTTTTTGGCTGTTGTTTGAGAGCTACTTTAATCTGAACTCAGTTACTATATTCTCCTATGGAAATGACGAAAATTGTACAATCAGGATACAGTTACTTTGGAAATGATATAGGATGGGGTCGCTTAATTGTATTTCTCGAGCATTACCAGAAGATTGCAGAAAAAAAGACTCGTTGACATCCTCTACGTTGGTAATAAACGTTGTATTTGAATTTCTCAACACTACCAAAGTGATAAAAAAGTGTCCCTTAGTTACATCATTTACCTTAAGATCTGTTTGTAAACCTGTTGATCCATAGTATTCGGTTGATATTATCATCTCAGGTGAGGATGCTGCAAAATAACAGGATCTCCTCAATACACTGAGTGAAAATCTAAGTACTCATATTCATCTTGAAATTAAATTATTGCCAGCTAATAGCTCATGTCAACTATTGTTTGTCCTATATATGAAAATGTTTCAAGGGATGGTTTGCGGGGATTTGATTGTTTATTAGTTTAATCAATAGTTGAAATCAGTTAGAGGACCATTGGGAAATCTGGGAGTACTGGGCACCTGTTTCGTCCTAGTTTAGGACTCTTCAGTACATACTCATCACTGGGGTTCAAACCCAGAGCCTTCTTCTTACAAGGTGAGTCATTGAACTGGGTTCCAGCAGCTGGATGGTCTACGAGCTCACCTTGTAACCGGAAAGTCCTTGGTTCGAAAACCAGTGGGTACGTACTGATGAGGAATCCAAAACTACGACGAAAATGTTCCAGTCCTTATGCGAGGATAGTTCTACTGAAGTAATTAAAAGTGTAGCTAATGTACTAATCCCTTTTTGTAAAACTTCATTGTATTGCGTACACGGCATGCATTTCTACATTGTGGAAAGCTTCCTACCGTAGCGTTTTTGTCCAGTCACCACCACTGTTTGTGTTGCTATTTAATTTTCACTGGTACCTAGTTTGAATATGATTTATTTATTTTTCTATACTTGCGTTACTGGATTCTGCTTATGGACAATATTACTCCGCACTGAATATGATAGACGAAAGTTTATACAGTATTTAGTAATGGTTCCTTTTGTCTGATGACGTGAATTGTTTTTGTTCCATAGAAATGAGTTATGTAGGGATAAGGGAAGTGTTTGATTACCTTTCCTTTAAATACGATAAGTATTTTCATTTCATTAAGTTTTCAGTCAACATTTACTTTTCTGTTTTTGTTTCAGGATCTGTTTTAGTTGAAAGTTGTGTTAATTTGGGCATCGATAAGCAGAGTTGGATGTTACATGCAGCTGTTCATAGTGCTAGACCAGATGTCAGATGCATTATTCATCTAAGTACTCCAGCTGCGGTTGCAGTAAGTTCTACCTACTCCTTATTTTTCGAATCAATTTTGTTTTCCCTTATTTTAGGGTTCGTTATGTAGGAAGGAGGCTGTTGACAGTAGTTATATTTTGATATTCATTGCAAATATCAAACTTATGAGATTAATACACTTGGACTGAACTCCCTACTCCTAGTAAAACGGAGGAGTCACTGGCTGTAAAACATCAGTGTTAGCATTTCTTTATTGTAAAATCCAGCTTTACACTCAGGCACTCACAAGACCGTTAAGACTACAAATATTCAATTGTTCAACTGATAATTTTTTCAAAGTGGGTATTGCTTACAATTAAAAATGGAGTATTCGAAAGTAATCACTGAGTTAAAGGTATGTTTATGTATATGTAACAACAGACTGAATTACTCGTGTCAGGATATTGTTTTAATATGTGGAAAGCAGTCAGGTTTTAACGTAATACATATAGCGTTACCGCCAACTAATGCCGTTTGTGAGTATTTGTCGACACATTCAACTTGATGGATCTCAATGGTCACAACTGACTAAAACTTCTGTCAACTTCATACTGTAGTCGGTCACTAGCTGGCACTAGATTAATTTCCAAGTGTTGATTTGTAGGGATTTGATTGATTGTAGACTGAATTCATTTGAAGAACCATTAAAAACGAGGGAGTACTGGATAACACTCTCGACCTTGTCTGAGGCCTTTTAACAGTACACAGTCATGACCCCACCAGGCATCGAATGTAAGACCTTCGAGTTACAGGGTTAGCTCGTTGGCCATTCAGTTACTTTCACGGAATCCAATGGTCCATCCTAAATACTCGCTGTTAACATTGGTTGACATTGGTCACGCTATCTGTCTCTAATTGGCAGTGATTAGAATTGAATGTTCTAACGTAGTTTACTCATGGGGATTAGAAAGTTCAGTAGTTAAAGGTTTAATTTGCTGCTACTTTTTCAGTATACATGTAAACAGAGAAATACATGTAGTCTCTGAAAGTTATTCATTTTATTGACATGAACTTGTGCAAGGCGATGAAATAATAGTGGTATAATAATTGGTAGAAAACAAGTTTTATCATAACTTTTGGCATTGGTTTATTGATTGAGGGAACTTCCCCTCTTATGCATTATAATGTAATGTATTATAGTGTACTTATTAATTTGTAATGTTAGCTAGAAAGTGTTAGTTGATTCTCGACATACAATACAAAATATGGTGTCTGTAACTTGACATTCAGAAGTATCAACATTTTTAGTGTTAGTGATGAATTTCTAGGTCAGTATTAAGTGTTTTGTAGCTTATCTTTATTATTATTATTATTATTTATTATTGCTTCTTTTAGTTCCTAGAGGAACATAGGGCTTCAGCCGCGCGTCTCCATTGCGGTCGATTCTCTGCTAGAGTTTTCACCTGGTTTTCATCTCCTCTTCATATGACTTCCTCCAAGTCACCCTTGGACGACCACCTCACCGCTTCCCTTTAGGGTTCCACTCGAGCGATGGCTTGTCTAGTGATGTTACTTGATAGTTTCCTCAGAGTATGGCCAATCTATCTCCATTTGTTCCTGCCTATTTGTTTCACAATCGGTTCCTGGTTGGTTCGCTCCCAGAGATCCTTGTTGTTGATCTTTTCTGCCCTGCCATCTGATCTTGAGTGTTGAGCGAAGACAACTGTTAATGAAGGTCTGTAGTTTGTTTGAGATGCTCTTTATGACGCACCAAGTCTCTGATCCGTATAGTAGCACAGACTTCACATTGGAGTTGAAAATCCGGATCTTATTTTTGATGCTGAGTGCTGTTGACCTTCACACAGACTTGAGAGTAGTGAAAGCTTGTCTTGCTTTTCGATTCTTGCTTTGATATCCTCGTCAGTTCCGCCTGTAATTGAAACGATGCTTTCCAGGTAGGTAAAGGAGTTTGTTTCTTTCAGGTTCTTCCCATTTATGCTGATTGTTGTCTGTTGTTGTTGTTGCTCTTGGTGGTGTTGGCCAGGAATCTTCATCACCTCTGTTTTCTTTATGTTCTTACAGTTGTAAAATATGTAATTTACGTGCCGAGGTTATACTTATTACACTAACTTTCTTAAACATTGTTAAAGCGGCTGAAAAGTTCTTATTTACGGTGTAGATTAACACTGAAATTGTCCTGTGGTGCTTACCACGACATATATATTCCCTTCACTACCGTTGTCTTTGCGAACGTAATAGTCTGACTTCACTTCCTGGCGTTGGACAACCTTCTGTATGAGCACTTTTGCTTGTGCATTATGTGTTTTGGGTCATTGACTGTTTTTGTGTATTCGTGTGAATATTTAGTAATATTCTTCCTGGGTGCATTTAGCTCAAGGGATATGTACCTAAAAAGCTAATTATTCATCGTTCTCTTCCTTTGGTCATACATATTTTTTTTATACCACTCTGACAATTTGTCTCCTTATTTTGCCACCACTATGTTTGGACTGTTTCAGTTGCCAGAAGAATTAAATAGTCCGGTTTAACTTGCATCTGAAGCCGGAGGGTTCTTTGGTAACGACTGTGAACTAGCGACCTATCGCTACCTGGAAACCTGAAGTTCCGGTTACGAATTCTTTTTCATTGATTGTGTTTATATTAATTTGAATGGAAATTATCAGAGTGAGTGGACACTTTGTATCCCACATTCTGTTGAAAGAATGAAGTCAGTAAAGATTGTTCGATATCCGCGCAAGTAAATAATCTATCTTGTTATTTTTTAGGTCTCATGTACAAATGCAGGTCTTCTGCCAATTAGTCAAGAGGCTATGATTTTGGGCGAAACAGCTGTTTATGATCCTTTGGTTACTATGACTAATATTCAGCAAAATGGAGAAGAAGGTGTCGACAGCCGTAAACATCGTCAATTTAAGGCACAAGAAGCAGAAATTGCCCGGATATTTTCAGAAAAATCTACTAATTGTATGGTTCTATTGGTACGTAGTTATGGTCTATTGGCAATGGGACAGTCAATCGAGGAGGCATGGTTCACTGCTTACACGTCTATGTTAGCTTGTGAAGCCCAGGTAGGTCTTCGATCAGTATTAATACTTAAATGTCTCACTTAAGTATTAAGGGACCGGTTGATCTACTACCCATCAACAAATTTGTTCTGGTTTTGACCATTAGGATTAAAATATCAAGTCTACTGATTTTCGGCTGATTAAACAGCAGCTGTAAGTTCAGTAACTCGTTGAATTAATTAGTGGCCAGAGAAATAATGATGCTCAGAATTATTGTAGAGGGTTAAAGGAAAAAAGGGTTAATCCAAGTTTGTAATTATTAACAATCAACCTGTCATCGGGTGATTAGTATTCCGTTATCAGTTTTTACAGTCCTTAGTAATAATGTAAGATTTCTAGTGAGAATCTTATCAAATAAGTACTTCTCTGTCTAAACTGTCTGAATACTTATATTTATTTGTTTTCATAATTCCTATCTGATTAAAAGACAATCTAGAGTGTTTGTTGTTATCACTTTTGACATCTTTGTCTTAATTTCCTGATGTTGGTTCTCAGTAACAGATGCTTTGAAGGTTGATTTACTTATTTATACTATTGTAGTTACGTTTGGCCAGTATTAGTTTGGATGAATTGGTTATGCCTACTAAAGAAGCACAAGAGGCCGCACATTCAATAGGTCGTACTCCTAGTGCTGTTCAGCTCCGAGCTGGTGAAGTTACTGGCAGTTCAGGATGGAGACGTGGTGAACTTGAATTTGAAGCATTGATGCGTAGATTGGATGCTGCTGGATATCGTACAGGCTATGTATATCGGTTAAGTCAAATTCGTCAGGGATCAACTGTTGTATCAACTCTTCAACGTCAACCTGGTGATTTTGTGGATTCAACGGTTCAGCAATCAGTAATGTCTCCTCGTGATGCAGCTGCTCATGTCCGTCGCGCAGCTAGTCTTGGTCGTGGTCTTCGTGGTCTCAAAGATGTAGAGATACCACCTACAGTATCATCTTTTGCAACATCTTACTACGGAGACGAGGAGAGTAGGTACGTGAGAGCTAGTCTTCATCGATGAATTAGCTTGTTTATTACTATGACAGAGATTGAAAACATACTAATTTTTTGTTCTTTTTTGTAGGGCTGCAGCCGCGGCGGAAATGAAAGCCAAAACACTTTCACTCTCACGTGCACATTGGTTGAGTACACCGAATGCATATCTACGTGAAGAGATTGAAGAGATAGGAACTCCGAATCCTAAAAAGATTACACATTGGACAGAAGGAACAGATGATAATAAAAATCGTACCGGTGGAGTATCTATGCCATTAGTTGATCCTAATCAGTTTGCTCTACAAGGTTCTGATCCGCAGGAGTTTAAAAATCAACAGAGAAAGGTAATATTACAGTTTGAAAACAATTCCAGCGATAGTGAATTTATTAAATAAGTTTGTGAATGTGAATCTCTCTAGTTCACTCTAATTCACCTAGGTCCAAACCACTAATATTTGTTTCAAAATGTAGAATAATTCCTTTTACATTCGTATATAATTAATCGTAAATTTCGTTACATTATTGTTACAGTTAACTTTTAAACAAATCTTAAGAGATGTTTATCTAATATAAAAGGTTTAGATTGTTTGTATGTCCTGTTCGATTTATTAAGCAATAGGTTCACAACAGTAATAACTGTGTGAGGTGTAACAATTCAACCAACAACACTGTTGAGATTCAACCTAAAGATTGTCGTTGTCTTTTTTGTTACATAATTGTAGAGTCACTCATCCTCCAAACACACCTGCACTAGATACAGCAAACATTCTAATTTATTATTATTCTCTTGGGTTCCTAGTGGAACATAGGGTTTCAAATGCACGTCTCCGCTTGCTTCTGTCTTCTGCTGTACTTCTCACCTGCATCCATGTTAGTCCATACTGTTTCAACTCTTCTTCACACGATCTCTTCCATGTCATCCTTGGACGTCCCACTCGCCGCTTCCCTTTCGGGTTCCACTCGAGCGTTGGCCTGACGCGCAATGTCACCCAGCGGCCTCTTCAGCGAGTGTCCAATCCATTTCACCTTTCTCCTGCATATTTGTTGGGTGATTGGTTCTTGTTTTGTTTGTTCCCATAGTTTCTTGTTGGTGATTCTTTCCGGCCATCTGATCTTCAGTGTAGAACGAAGACATTTATTGATAAAGGTCTGCAACAGGCTGTTGGAAATATTCTTTGTGACCCGCCAAGTTTCTAATCCAAAGAATGTTTAAAAACATCCTAATTTAATGGCCTAATAATTATAAATGGAGATTTTTGTTCTTACAATTTCAATTCCTCGTGGAATAACATCAATGAAATATTAACACAGTGCATAAGGAATGCAGCAAAAAAGAGCATTTGGTGCTGCTGAAGTATGCGTTCGGGAGTTAGAGATAAACTATCTAATTTCACCTCTCATATGTGTATCTATCAGTTTGAATGCTCCTGTGGAACCAGTTACATGGTTCGTACAATTAGGCGTGTTTATCGTCGGATTTCCGAACACCATTCCGCATAGTGGTGAAGTAAGGGACAAATGGTCAATACATATATAAAGATAGTTACCAGGAGACGCAATTATATCACTCATGAAGAAATTTAAATCATTTCACTTTATGCTAAATATTGCGCTGAAGATGTTGTCCAGAAGGACGACGAAAGCTTCGCAACTAAACCAACCAGCTCAGAGAACACTATTAATTGCAAAAAGGGACAAACAAAGTGCATACATAGTTCTATACTGTTTCATCTCATGGGTACAGAACACGAAGCTGGTGTAAACAAGGTCTTCAAAATCATCTACCGTATACCAACTAAGCTTCACTTTACCTCAAGAGTTTGGCTATTACATATTGCTTAGGCTGGTTGTTGGAATCTACATTAAGAAGCCTAATGTATCTATCCAAATGAAATTAGTTCAGACGCTTTCCTTACCTTGGTCATCAAGGTTTTAATGATCCTTACTTTGTTGTAGAGGTTTCAATAATTTTATTTGATATTCTATTTACTGTTACATTTTTATGCTTACTATAACTTATGCATCTTTCTTGAACTGTAGTTTCATTGATCTTACTTAACGAATCGATAGTATTTAAAAACATCAATATTGTTAATGACGAATATTCTGGAATATTCTACCTATATATATAATTGTAGAGCCGGAAGAGGAAATTAACGTGAAGAATATTCTCTGCTCAAATTTTCTTTTGTCTTCTAAATGTCTGAATGAATATTTTAGCTGTATGCATGCAAATGCAGATTGTTTAGCCTATACATAAATATGCATGTCATTCAAGCTGTTGGCGTGTAGAACACTTTTATTTTACGGATTCTAAAAGTAGTTCAAAGCTGTGAAGAATATTCTTTTGAGTGAAGTATAGTTGAGTTGGTATCCATCTGTAAATACACGCATCTGTTAACGTCCAAAATGTACAGAGTCTTTCAAATAATTAAAGTAATCATTGCGACAAGATTTGAAGCAAATGGGGTATTCCGTTTCAAACTAAAGTATCACAAGACCGAACCCCACTCCATTATATATGGGAGGTGGGGGTCTAACGTACCATGTAATATCATCACCTCTTGCACAGTAGGGTGCTATTCACGGTTAATTTGCACAGATGCACAAGTTATTGTTACTTCTTCTTGTTATTATTCCTAGTCTATTTTGTATATTTGGAAAATCTTACTACCTCTATAACAAACAAAGAGAAAGAACTTCAACCATGAAAGTAGGTTTCGAACCTATGGAATTGCATCTGTTTAACTGCGTGATATATCTAATATTCAAGTATTGGTTTTGTAGGGATTTTGTTTAATTGGATGGAGGATTTCATCATGAGCTGACATCAGTTAGAGAACCACTGGAAAACCTGGGAGTACTGGACAGCTATCTCGTCAGCCCGCGTTGGGACTCTTCATCAGTATGCACCCCCTATTTATCTAATAAACGAACTAAAATGAACTTATGTACACCTGCAGTTTCTAAATATTACATATATATGTTAACTCAATGTTTAGCGTGGTTTTTATTTATTTTTCTGATAGGTGAAAGATAAGTATTACAAAGATGTTAGATCTGCTGGACCAAAATCCCGAATTTTACAAGGTATTGATATAGATGATGAAGGGGATGAAACGGATGGTACTGTCTCACCGAAAATGGTCAGTCCCAAAGGCACATTGCTTCGTTTAGATCCTTCTAATCCTCCGTCTCTTGAACCTGGACATGTTGTTGTAGTTGGTGCTGCTAGTAAGGGCATTATTCATCGCAACCAACGACATAATGCTGGGGTTTATCAATCTGTCTACTCACCGAATCCTTTCGATAGGATGACCGATGAAGATCTTGAGCGTTATAAGGAGAATATTGAACGTAAGGCGAAAGGTTTGCCTTCATTGGAGGAGGAAGAAGCAAGAGCTCGTATAGAAGAAGCTCGGCATGCTGCAGAAGTGGCTCGGGAGGCGATGGAGGCAGCTTCTCGTATGACGGCTGGACAAAAGTGTAAGCTTTCCTTACTTAATGTTTTGATTTCTTCAAATTCAGTCTGAATATTCAACAGTAGGCAAAAGCTGAAATGGTAAACAGTGAGGAAGCTAATTTTTTCAACTTTCTACTTGACAGGGATGTCATTTACGTTGAGGCACTAGTGTTTTAACCGGTGTTTATTTGCTGGAACTCTGTCTCTTCCATCATTAGTAGTCCTGACAAAATGTTTACTATAAGGTCTAGTCAATACGACTTTATTTGCGAAGCTAAAGTATCTTAGCCAAAGCCAAGGTCTTTCACAAATTGACCGTCGATAACCAGTCAGATACTGGGAATGCTATGAAAGGTCATTCCAAATCAAACCATGTTTGCCTTTTTGGATTTGGAAAAGGTAGATACAATAGTGCACTTATTCTCTACGTACCTTTTGTGTAAATCTATACTGTTAGGTAGATTTATGGCTTTTTGGATTAAGGTTTAGGGTCTAGAATTGAAATCAGGATTAGGTTGAAAAAGTGTCAGAAATATTAACAGATCTCAAAGTACCATGACCTGAAGTCATTTAGATGAATGCATCTATTGCGCATGGTATGATTTCTGTAAAGATCATCTGTGTAGTGATTTGGCTGACTGGCTGGTTTCAACATAGAACTTTGCACCGATGTGCAGCAGTTCGAGTCGCCACGCTCCATGTAGCACACAAAGCGAGAGAAGAAAGTAAAAAGAAATGCAAAACACAGACAGTAAACGAAAATATGAGGCATAAAGTATAGTAATATCGAAGAACCATATAGTTTTATCGGGTATTATAAGTCACAAGGAGTGAATGCATCTGCTCCAGCCATTGACAACGATTTTGAGCCATATCACCAATTGTCTCCAACCATTGGTTTTTACCATCCCAAGGACCCCGACCAGTCAGGAAGTCTACATCTCCCTACATGACTGGCTTAAACTAACTGTTTTGGGTTCCATTGACTGATGAGGCCATATTTCGGTTTGACTACCACCACTAGCTCTTTTCTAACCTGATCCTATGTCAGCTAACATCGCCCGTTGCTATCAGTTATTTTTTTTATTTCAATTAAGCCAGTCGGCTTGAACAATTGACAGCTGAAATGTTTTAGTCTGTCTTGTACTTCATGAAGAAAAGATTTTAACTTTATTTCGTCCTTATCACTTTAAGCATTGAAAACTAACACTTTGTTATTTTTGCTTGTTTGTTTACTTATGGTACTTACTGACTGACTGACTGAATGACACTGACCCAGTTTAATGATTTATTAGTTATTATTTCACGTGACAGAAAGTTGTAGAATACAAGAATGTTTTTGGTGTGTATATGAGTGTTAACCTTAATATTTGTTATATTTTTTGGGTATTTACGAATGAATGTCACATTGTAATGTATAATATAATTTCCGTTAGGTCAGTGATATAGGTGTATAGTGTGTTGATTTATTTCATTTGCCATTTTCCAATTATTCTTTTTTACAAGTTAATCACTAAGCTATTTTCCACGTTTATATCTATTCCAGTAAATGGTCTTCATTTAGGAAGCTGTTGCAAATATCGTGCACCAACAGTAACTGCAGATTATAATAGTACACTGGCTGATTTAAGTACAAGTGTTTTCTGTTCAAGTACAACATCTTGTTTAACCGATAATAATGATAAACCATTCATGATGAACTCTTATCCTGAAAACATGTTCAATAATGGCAATGTAAATTCATCAGAATATTTCTGTTCCCTTAACAGTTCAAGTCTGGAGACCTTATCAAGTAGTGTTTTACCATTATCATCTGCAACCGGTGTATCAGATGCATTCTTATCTAATACTAGAAGTAAATCGTGTCTTCGACGTCGAAGTGCTCGTCGTTTTTGGCACTGGCCTCATCGAATTACTACAAAATCAGGAAATTATAGTCTTATTAAACCAATCCAGTCTCTCGATGTTGTTGACTCTGGAATTAATAAAGTAGAATTAGGCTATTCTAAATTTTTTCAGAGATTTACAGCCCCTTTACTGGAAGGGAACAGCAATAATACTTCTTTTGACACGAGGTCACCAAGTCGATTATTCTCTCCAACAGTGTTTGAGAAATCTTGGAATTTCATATCATCTGAAGGTATTGATAACACTAGTGCTTCATTAAAAACAATTACTCATCCAGAGATGTGTACAAGTAACTTTGTTGAGGTGTTTATTTTTGTTTTCGTTGGTACACGTTAGTGTTGGAAATCTTTATATACACGAGGCGGCAGCTGACAGTTTGTGTTGTCGTTTTCTTTTATCCCATAGATCATGGTGAGGGCGGTGGTTTGGATTTAAGTCATATTCAAACAATTCGTTCAGATACTAGTGGGGCTGAAGCTAGTCATGATGACACTGAGAAAGAGGTTAGTTTTTATTACGTCACCTCAGTATTTATGTTCTGTATGCCCTTCATTTTTGAATGATGTGTTATTGGTCATATGGTAGTTAGTTCCTGTTACTGTTCAGTTTATAATTTCGCATTCATACACTTACAGTTATTGTATTGTGAATTTTTTTGTTTTTTAATTAAAATTTTAGACTAAAAAAGATGATAGTGTAACGGAGAAGAAAAAGAAGCGTCGATTCAAAATGCCTTCATTTGCTAGGAAATCCAAGACAAAAGAGGTGAAAGAAAAGAAATAAATTTAATTTCTTCTCAGTACATATATACTACTTCCTCGTATATAAGTAGACATATTAATAAATCCCGTTTTTTTCTCTCAGACGGTCGAAATATCTGAATTAATCTACTACTACACTACTGCTACTACAGGCGTTAAACCTATCTTTTGCTTTGATATATCTGTCCACAACAAATCACCCTGTTCAGCTTTTTGTTATCCCTTTTTTATTATTATCATTATTATTACTATTCACCTGCTTATGAATGATTGATCCGTGTTTTTACATCGAATATGCTTTTCACGTTATCTGCTTGTGATATATAAATAGTCAGTCTTTACTTATTCCATCATAATTTCACCCTCAAGGAAGATATATAATATACTCCTCTGTCTTCTTTTGTGCTTGTAATATTGATATTAGTTGTGAAGTGTTTGCATCAAATATTCTGTGGTGTTGTTGGTTTTTCTTTCCCGAATTATAAATTCGAGACACACTTTGGTGTTGTTGTTTGAGTCAATTCTTGTTAATCATCTCTGTCGAATATTGATTGATCTGTTTGTTATTTTTGCTTTTTATTCTGCCCTTTGTTCTCTTGAAGAATTTGCATAATTTGTTTCTGAAACAAGCACGATAATAAATTCTGATTGGCACAGTTCTTGTTATTATTATCACCATCATCATAACTGTGTGTGTGTGTGTGTGGGGTGGGTGGAAGGCACACTAAAGCTTCTTTTTCTTGCTGTGATCTGATTAAACTGCACAGTTTGATTGTTTATTTTATTTTCGATTGAAAAGTTCCATTTAATTTTCCACACTTCTTGTTGTTGTTGAGCTTTTCAGGCTTGTTTGTTTTTGGTTTAATCTCAAGAACTTTAATAAAATATGGCATTTTTTTCAGTTTGATAGTGTGGAATAAGATCCTGTGTTGTTAACCTTTACTGAATATAACATATGATTGGTTTGTACTGAAGGTATACTTTCTGTTGAAATGTTGGGACTTCAGTTTTTTTTGGTAATTCAAAATGTATCCAAGATATTGTTTATATCGTCTTTGGTCGAGTTTTGCATTACGAAGCAGAGACAGTTAGCGACACCTTTTTTTACTGGAAACTCGTGGTTCTGAGTTTAGAAATTCTCTTGTAATAAGAGTCGTATAGAAAAATTTATTGTATCATTATTATTGTCTCCTTTAGTTCCTAGAGGAACATAGGGCTTCAGCCGCACGTCTCCATTGCGTTCGCTTCTCCGACAACGTTTTCACCTGGCTCCACGTCTGCCCACATACATGACCTCCCTCACGTCACCGTCGCATTGACGACCAACTTACCGCTTCCCATTTGGGTTCCACTTGAGCGATGGCCTGACGTGTGATGTCACTTGATGGTTTTCTCAGGGTATGGCCAATCCATCTTCATTTCTTGTTGCACAATTGGTTCCTGATTGGTTCGCTCCCAGAGATCCCTGTTGCTGATCTTTTCTGGCCTGCCATCTTATCTTGAGTATTGAGCGAAGACAACTGTTAATGAAGGTCTGTTGTTTGTTTGAGATGCTCTTCATGACGCGCCAAGTCTCTGATCAGTATAGCAAGTAACATTGGCTTCACATTAGAATTGAAAATCTGGATCTTATTTTTCATGTTGAGTACAGTTGATGTCCACACAGACTTGAGAGTAATGAAGGCTTGCCTTTCCCGATCCTCACTTTGATATCCTCGTCAGTTCCGCCTGTAGTTGAAAGGATGCTTCCCAGGTCGGTAGTTAAAGGAGGTTTCTTCTTTCAGACCTCCCATTTATGTTCATTGTTGTCTGTTGATCTTACTGTTGATCAGGAATCTTCATCACCTCTGTTTTCTCTATGTTCACCTGAAGTTCTATCTTCTTTGGATGCTTCTTCTGCCAGTTTGTGGGAAGTCAGACATACATCAACGGCGAAATCCATATCCTCCAAGCTTTTTGTATGGGTCCATTTGATGCTTGTCTCCTCGTTGCCCGCTGTTTGTCGCATTGTCCAGTCTACCGCCCGTAATCAGGAAAATCATTGGAGATAGTAGGCAGCCAGCTTATTGTACTCCCGTCTTCACTTCGAAGGATTCCGTGAGTTTCCCGTTGTGGATTACTTGGCATACAGCATTATCGTACAACTGTTGTATGGGGAGTATAATTTTTGGTGGTACCCCAGAGTAGGAAAGTAGTTTGCAAATCACCTGTCGATCGACGCTGTCGAAGGCCTTTTTAGAGTCAATGAATTTGAGGTAGAGAGCTGACTGCCATTCCAAGCTCTGTTCAATGATGATGCGTACTATTGCGATTTGATCGATGCATGACTTGTTTCTCCTGAATCCAGCCTGTTCCGGTTGAATGTTTTCATCAAGGGCGTGTTTGATTCTCTCTAGGATGATGCGGCTTAGTAGTATGCTTGGGATAGACAGGAGCATAATGCCACTGGAATTCTTGCATTGACTAAAGTCTCCTTTCTTTGGCAGTTTGAATAGGTAGCCTTTCTTCCATTCATCAGGTACCTTGCCATCTTGCTTTAGTCATTTGCTGAGTACTCCTGACCAACTTAGAGATACAATGAATACCAATTAAATCATTTTAGTGTGATGCTTGTGAACTGGTTTATAGATATCAGAAATGGGAAAAGTTTAATTGCCGACCAATGATGTACATGGGTTTCAGGATTTACTTTAGCTATAAGCGTCTATAGAAATACAGTTACTGATATTACTCAGTTATATAACACACTGAAAATCAAATCAAACAATCAGTATGTTACCCTCATTTATTTGCACTTGTCTTTGGACTTTAGAAGTATCCTTACTCTAATGCACATACAGAAATACTTAGTCCCCCCCCACCTCGTCACTAATTAACAATAACGTCGAAGCGCAATTGCGTTACACCACAATCATTAGATGCTCGGTTTCATTTTGGTGCTGTCGTGGTTATTGCATAACAGATGTCGTAGAAGAGGTGCCTTAAAGGTATGCAAGGGGCCATAGTTCAGTTGGGCGAAAATGCAAAGTATTCGGAATATTATAAGAGGTAGTTTATTTTCTACAGATGTCATCTTTTAACCGTAAATTTGTGTATACCTCTGTTTTTCAAGCTAAAAAGCGATTCAAAAATAGTTGCGTTATATATAAAAGAGGTTTTTTTTAATGTTGTCTAACACTTTTCGATAGGACACGCATAGAACGACCTATGTACCTAGCTCCACACGAGCAGGTGAACTGATATATGTACATTGAAGTGGTCATATGTAGAAGTCTGTCCTTCACATTGCTTCAAAGCAGTGGGCGTCTGGAGAATATCACTCCTAGAGTTGTTGTGGGAAGGGTCTTCTTATGGAACTGGAGATTCTCCTCCTAAGGATATCTGCAGCTAAGTCTCCCCTGAAGTCCAGAATCAAATAGTGTTTTCTGTGGTAGTGAAGTGCATTCTTTGCTTTTTGGCTTTGGTTTAATGTTCTTCTCCAAGAAACGTACTGGATATCCATTTCAAGAAGTAAAAGCTCTTCTTCTAAGCAGTCACTTCTGCAAAGTCTTCTGATACGGTTGGCCAGCAAGATGTTGAGAGTTCCTTTTTTGACTGACAGGTATTCAACTATAAAAGTCTGTTAATTGGTCATTCCATGATGGTTTTCTGTGGATAGATTTTTTCACAGTTCCATCATCTCTTGTCAGTTCGACGTCCAGAAATGAAATCTTTGATCCATTTTCTACTTCCATTGGGAATATAATTGAAGGATAGCGGTTTTTAAACTCCTGTAATATACAATTTAAATCAGAATCATTATGACAAACTATAAAAGTGTCGTCGACATACCTTTAGTACAGCAGCTATTTGTCTATTGTTGATTTTAAGATCGCATTTTCCTTACTGGTCATAAAGCAGTCTGCCAAATGGAGAGTATATGGCAACCTCATCTTTCTGTCTGTTGATATCGTCGTTGAAGGTAAATTGTACATTAAATGTGCATCTCAGTAACAACTCTTTCAGATATGAGGTTGGTATTCCTATGTTCAGATTCCTGTCCTCCACATATATTTGCAAAGGAAACAAATTGTTTCTGTCACCAGCACATTGGTAAACAGAGATTTTACGTCCAGCGATAACACATGTTTACCATTTACATTCAAACAAACTGGTTAGCACTCACGAAGTGTTCAATATAGATGGCACTGAAATAGAAACCAAGTCGGAAATTAAATACCTAGGCGTCATTCTATCTGCTGATCTCTCCTGGTCGTCTCATATCTTGGCGATTTAGAAGAAAATATTCCGTCTTACCTTCTACATCAAGAGGTTAAAACATTCTGGTATAACCCAACCCTTACTCCTACAATTCGTTAACTCCCGCATTCTGCTTATTATTCTCTATTGTTCCCCCTTAGTTTTTCCCGGGCTACTGAAGAAAGACTATAACATATTAATCAGGATGTTAAAGGTTGTGAGCAGGGTAAGCAACGTGCCACTTAATCAGCTTGTTAATATTCTGGTCGACAGGCACTTGGACTCATGTGAAAAATGGGCCAAATCCATTTTATCTAACTCACACCACCCTCTTCATTCACAACTCTCCCCTTGCATCTCATCAGGCAAAACCAGAAGCCTATATAGAAAACTATAAACTATATGCTCACACTAGCAAGTACAAAACTCAACCATACCCTACTTGGCTCGTGTTCTGTGCGATAAAGAAAGCATTAGGCGTGATACCCATAACTTATTAAATAGTCAGTAGAACAACTGGATCTCGTCTTTCCAACTGATATCATTTATTGGTACAACGTTTTCGTTCTTTCTTTTCCTTTCTCTTTTTCTTTATTTTTTCCTATTATGTCCTGCTTTGTTTCTCTCTTCCTCACAAACTGTATTTAAAACATTCTTCTTCGTTCTTTCACACTCTATATATCTCGACCTTTCTGTTACCACTTACGCCAGTAAATATGCTAGCATCTACTTTTCTAACACCTTCAAACACTCTGTTCAATTTTGGCTTTGCTACCGACTTGCCAAAATGTTGTTGTCATAATGAACTGAGATTACCTTAATCTATGTAAAATTTTATTTATTGATAATGTACTAACTGGATGCAATACTGTAGTAAAATGCTGAGAATTCCATTCTGTATCACAAGTACTGTTTTGGAATAAAGCAAATTATTATTATTATAAATTCAAAAGTATCCCAGAGAGCGACAGTACTTACGTAGTTGATGCCCCACAGGGGCTAGCATTTGGTAGTTGGATGACAGTGACGGCGACATGTCTAAAATCAGTCAAGGTAGCAGACCAGCTTTGTCTACCATTTGGTAGACCGTAGAGTCAAGGGATTTACGCCATCTGGTATTATTATTATTATTGTTCCCATGTCGCTAGTAGAACATAGGGCTTCAACTATACGTCTCCACTTGCTTCTGTCTTCTGCTGTACTTTTCACCTGCGTCCATGTTAATCCATGCTGTTTCAATTCCTCTTCACACGATCTCCTCCATGTCACCCTTGAACGTCCCACTCACCGCTTCCCTTTCGGGTTCCACTCGAGCGATGGCCTGACGCGCGATGTCACCCAGCGGCCGCCTCAGCGAGCGGCTAGAAAACGCCATCTGGTAGTGAATGATATATTAACACATCAATTTATGTATACCTCTTTTTCTCAAGCTAAATAGCGATTCATTATAATGAGCAAAACAGTATCCACATACAATTAACGATTTTATATAATTATATAAAAGTCACTCATTAATGATTGGCAGTCAAGCAATGATATATATATATGTATTGGAAATCAGTCATCTGTTTAGGGTCATTGGGATTTCCACAAGGAGGAAAAAAAAATAAAAATCCAGAATTAATTACTAACTGAATGTGACCCTTATCATCTCACAGGCAAGTAATTCATCAAAAATGAAATGAGGTGAGAAGAAATGTCAATGATGAGGGATAGAAGAGAGAGAGAGAGAGATAGAGCTATAAAATGACATTCACAAAAAA